TCCCATTGTTCTAAGAGTCAGATTTATACTAAAGGTATACTCAAGCAAGTGGCACTCCTCATCCTTACTACCCCATTCCCATTTCTTCCTTTTTCCACCCATTCTTACACACCCCATATAGGTAATCAATCTAATTCACTTCTTGCTTATTCTTTATCTCTCTCCCTTCCTCTCTCTGAAGTCAATAAAAACATATTTTAAAAAGTTTTCTTATATTGCTTTCTTTCTTACATGAAAGGTGGTATCTTATAAATACCCTTGTGTGCTTTGCTCTTTTTTTTCTCACTTAGTAGTATATTCCACAAATCATTCCATGTCAGTTTATAGAAATCTTCCTCATTCATTTGTAAAGTTGCATAGCACTCTATTGTATGAATGTACCGCAGTTTATTCAGCCACTCTCCCATGTATGGGCATTTAAGTTGTTTCCAGTATTCACAATTGCAAACAATGCTATGATGAACAAACTTTGATGCACTGGCCTTTGTGAGAGGGACTAGCATAGGATATGAAGGCAGATGTGTCTGATTCCACAACCACTGCTCCCTCTGCACTGCCACACTGCCTCTACAGTTACAACACAGGCCTGAGACAATGCCCTGGTCATTCTTACCTACTTCTACAAAGAACTCCAATGGGCAGGCTACTTGAACTGGGAAAGCAAGAGACCTAAAAATTGTTGCTTTGAGATAACTACTTGAACAAGATTCCTCATTTGAAAAGAAGGACTTATCCATAGAGCTGTGGTTATGCCTACCTGGTACCTGCAGTTGATGGGGTCTATTCTCATAAGTCAACTTCTTGGCCATGGCACTTGTTAAATATTTCATATATCACATCTGGTCCCACACCTACAGCCCTTAGTTGTGGACATCAAGTGAGACCTCAGTAAACTCCAAGAACACTCTACGCTGAGGTTAAGGAGAATTAGTATTCTCAGGCACCCAGGGCCAGCTTTGTGGTCATGCTACGTATACAGTCCGACAGGTCCTGTGCTTAATTTAATGCTCTGTTGTCCCTGTCTTGCAATTCTTTT